AGAACAGAAGAAATACAGAGCTTGAAGGCACTTAGTATTAAGGATAGAAACAGGCAGAGATAATCTGCTTTCAATAATAGAATTTTCTACAGTTAAGAAAAGCATTGCTAGCTACACCTTACATTCTTTAGAATAAGATTATACATAGAAGCAGCTAGGACATGCACACACACACACACACACACACACTCTGAGATTGAACTTGAGGATGCCGATGAACATAACAGGAACCACACAGTTTATCTCATCCAAACCCCTTGTTTTAAAGAAGAGATAACTGAAATCTGGAGAGGGATATCACTAAGACCTACCACTGGTTAAGGAGATGATCCCATGTGGATGCCATGTGATTGGACTCCTCGTTATGTACTCCTTGTACTACACCATATTGTTGTCTTTAGTTCATCGTATTGTGACTCAAGCTGTTATATAACTCTACACAGATCACTGATATTAAAAATAATGTTTAACATTTGCAACAATAACAACAGCCACATCATCACTTACTGAGCTTTGACACCAGTCACTATGCTAAAATATCTATATATGTTTTTCAATTTCATCTTTAAAACAATTTGTATTTATATATCCCCATTTTATTGATGGGAAAATGGAGGCAAAGAGGGAGGGCTGGTTTTTCAAGGTCATACAGCTAATAAGCGGTGGAACAAAAATTCAAACCTATTTCTTCCTAAATTAAAAACCTGTACTCTTACTTCTTAACTTGTAGATAACCTCTTAACTTGTTTCTGACCATAGGCAATAAATGTGTGATTGTATGGGTATATAAAGGATAGTGGGAAAATGCAGCAATAGAAAGAGATGTCTGTTGGGTAATAATAAAAATTTGAAGATTACCTTTGCAGCTAGAGAAACTGAGTAACTCAAGAAGGGATTAATAAAGCTTTCTTGACCAGTTTATTTTAAAAATTTTATTTAATATTCCCATTATCCCAGATCAGGAAACATATCCAGGATAACAACTTCTAGAACTATACACACACAAAAAGCTTTTAATGATAGACTGGCTTCCCTTTACTCCACCTCCAATGAACAAATAAATGAATGAATGGATGAATAAATAAAAGCAGCCTAGAAAGATCTTTTGATATCAGCTATCAGAGTTCGGGCCTCCCAGAATTGCTTGGTCATAGTGATTGTTTATAAAGCTCCTGAAAAAGGAGAATAATTTAACTCTACTTCACACTAATTTTTGAGTGTTGTTGATCTCTTAGGTTGAGCCATTGTCAAGACAGTAGAATCATCAATTCTATCCTGCCTGCCTGCCTATTATTCAGTTCTGATGTAATCATTATAAACACAAATTCCTTGCATGTCTACGCAGTGCTTAGTATCTGTTGTTGATGTCTCTCTTGGGTTCCAGCATAGATTAAACGGGCCCTTGAAGACAGGTGCCCAGCAAGACAGAGAACAGGTTCTGATTAAAACAGCACACAGTGTACTTGCTTACTTTCTCTGAGCCTTATTATCCTCATCTCTAAAACAGGAGCAATGATATTTTCTGTGCCAAAAATCACAGGGTATTTGAAAATTAAGTGAGAAAGTAACCTGCGAATCACGATACAAATGTTAGTTATCTTTACATCTGTTAAATGCTTGATTTTATAAATTACTTTTACAAGCAGTTTGCCATTTGATTCTCACAAGAACACTATAAGTTAGAAGCATGTGTTATTACCTAATCACTTTAGAAGGAAAATTAAGATTAAAAGAGCTTTCAATACATCTAAAACTTGCCCAGCCAAGTACCCCTTACACTGTAGAAGAAGGGACGACTGCAACTTAGAATTCTGAAGGTAATGTCAAGACTGCCTCACTGAAAATCCAGAATTTCTGGTTCTGCCTCTTACTGCATCCTACGCTTACCTAGATTAAAAAAAATAAAAAAATCACAGGTTGATAAAAGTTGATACAGAAGTTTTTGAATTTAGAAGCCAAAGACTCAAGTAAACATATTCTAAAATAGGGATTTAATTTTTTTTAAATCCCATGAGGATAAACTAGTGAGCTCTATCTGTAGGTGATACTATGGCAACTTTTTTTAACAAGTAAAACTATTGGAGGTAAGTTATCTCCATTGGTGAATTTCTCATTCCAAGAATATTCCTGATTTTTTTATATCATCACTTTGTTAGATGTTCAGCTTTATATGAGCCCTTTAACTAGAAATTACCTAAGATTTCCTTTAATAATGAGATTCTTTATACATATTAAATATTTTATACTTAGCATTTCTAGGTGGTTGTATCAAGAAAGACTCCACAGCCCAGGTAAATTCTAGAATAAAATGCAAAATCAAAGATTTTTTAAAAGATAAAATATGATACCTCAAAGAAATATGGCAAGATTTTCACAGTGACCCAAGGCATTAATCTATATGGGCACTAGAATTTCACTGCAGATGGGTTAGAGAGGATGATAAGAAGAGCTTCCCTACTGTATATGGTTGGAAGGGATAGTCTGATAAATAGCTCAGTCTGGCCAGGTGAGACCCTGTTGGGGAAACATTTATAATACAACAGATGGTCTCTAAACTGCTTTCTAGTGTTTACTTCAAGTTATTGGCAGGCTTTGTTTTGCTCAAAACTGGATTACTGACCCTGATCCTGAACTCAAACTATATAAATCAAAATTTGACAAAAATTATAAGGAAAAATTTGAATATCTACATTATAGTGAGATGCTTTAACAAGCTTCTGTTAAAAAATTGATAGAATCTATGCACAAAAAATCACTTGATTTGGTTTGAATGAATGGAACAGAAGGAATATAGGACATTCAAAAAGATTTCCAATTACATGTCAAAATATTACATGTGATAAAATGGTGTATCAGTCAGAGTTCAACCAGAGAAAGAGCCAGTAGGAAATATATAGTGAGAGATTTATTGCAAGAAATTGGCTTAAGCAGTTATGATGGCTGGGTGGGCAATTCTAGAATCCATGGGGCAGGTCATGAGGAAAGACAGGTAGGAGCTCTCAAGCGGAAGTTGATGTTCATGGCAGGACAGAACTGGTGCTTTGAGGAAGCCTCAGCCTTTTATCTGATTGAATCCAGGCCACCTAGGTTGTCTGGGACAGTACCTCTTACTTAAATTCAACTGAATATGAGCTTTAGTCCCATCTACAAAATACCTTCACAACAACACCTCCATTGGTGTTTGGTTGAATAACTGGGTAGTACAGCCTTGCTAAGTTGATGCATAAAACTGCTCATTACAGATGGCATTGCAAATCAATTGTTGGAGACAGTATTGACATAATTGTCTATCCATTTTGAAGAAAAATGAAGTTATATATCTATATAATACAAAAGAGTTTATTTGGGATGGATTAGGACACTATTTTTGATAAGACCACTATGAAAGTCATGAGCTACAGTGACTGGGTAACCATTTCTTCCCAGAGTTTTCCCTCTGTTAATTTTTTAATTTCCCAGAACAGCCCTGTAATCAACAATGGAGCCTATGAAAGGGTGAAAAATATTAACAAATATGAGATCAATGCCATGTTCATGAATTGAAATGAGTACAAGTCTATTTGAGGAATGGCAAGGGCCATATGTTCAAAAGTATCTCTTTGCCACCTTGTTGATGATGTTGAATGTTGTATTTTAACCTAATATTTCCATAGTATTAAGCACTATTGTACCTAATCAGCTTTAGTAGATTTTTCAAGGGTTATTTTGTGTATGTGCCTCCCACGTACCAGGCACTGTTGTGGGCTCTACAGATATACATCTAAAATACCAATAACACAGCAGCAGCAATGACATTCTCAGTACATGTCTTCATGGAGCTTCCTATCTATTTTATAAAATTAGAAGCTTCTTTAGAGGACAGTATTTTGTGTTATAAATACCTTTATGTGGGTGAATTTATCGAGCAGTCTTCTCTAATAGTAGTATTTACTGAAACCAACTGCCCCTTGACAAGAACAAATCCTTTTTAACCATTAGGTAAAGCATAGTTAAGCATTCCCCTTAGTACAAAGTACTCATCTCCTATGCAAAAATCTATAAATATGTATCTTTGTACATGATACAGCATCATTTTTCCAATAATTTATTTTATTTATAAATTTTTCTTGACACTAAATATTTGGATATTTCAGATTAATGGAAAAAAAACCAGATTACATGTTTATCTTTATCATGGTTGTTCAATTCCTTGAGATTTAAAGACTGAACCATTTAAGTTGAATTCCCAATGTCTCAAAAATGTCATATGACTTTTTGACAAGTATCATTTTTTAAATAAATAATTTGTCATGTCAATGAGCTACTTTGAGATTTAGGTAAGAGGATAGTTATTTACATCAAAAATTTATACTTTATCAGACTAACAATCCATGTGGCCTCCCCAATTTACCTGTGTTCTCTGTGCTTGTTAAAATAAATCCTAATGTCATAACTGTGTACAATATTATGTGCCCAAATTATCATATATATACTGATTTTGTTCATCTCTATTATGGAAGCTGATACAAAACAACATATAGTCAAAAGATGGTTTTAAGAGACAGAAACCCTAATATATTCTGCTGAAGTGCACTGGCTTTAGTTTCTTTTTTGCCCTGAAGAAAACATAACCACTGACCTTGAATGAATGATGAAGACATAAATTTTTAGATTGACTATTCTTGATTTATAGGCAGGGCCCTTCTGAACAGTGAGGAAAAAATGATCCTTGCTATTTTTGATTATTTCTTCATCATTCATATTTTACATTCTGCATCAGCCCTGGGGTTATTTTCAGGGATGCATTTTTATAAATGAAAAAAAAATGCATGATGATATATAAAAAATAATTTGATTTCTCATTGTGGTATCCCTGCCCTTTTGGTCAAAATAACAATAATTACCACAACAATCACAAACAATGTAAAACATGTCAACTATTGTTAAAATGTTGCTAAATAAAACTCAGCTAAAATACTTGTTTGGTAACTTTTACCCCCCTGTGGAAAATTCTTTTATAGGACTGGAGAAAGGAAGTCAGTACAGTTTCCAGGTGTCAGCCATGACCGTCAACGGCACCGGACCCCCTTCAAACTGGTACACAGCAGAAACCCCAGAGAATGACCTGGATGGTAAGACTTCTCCCTGGTGACTGTCACTCTGATTTCTATCTCCTTGTTACCTCAGCTTCAAAGGGCCCCTTTAAAAAGTGAATGAGCTCCAACTTCGGGGACATTTATTCTTCCTGTGTCTCCAGATACAAAATAAAAGAAAACACAACAAAACCCACTAATTAATAATAGTTTTTAATGGTGCCATATAAAATACAATATACCATGAATGGCATAGCAAAATTATGCATTAATTATGGTCCTCATATCAAGTTACTTTTTTCAAGATAATCTGAAATGATTAATCTTCTACTTATGCCATTTTGAATAATTGACCTTAACCATTTTCATCACAAGAATTACTATAATTTCTGATGGTAATCGTGATTTCACATAGCTTTTTCTGCTGTTTTATGATGCGTCTGCATAACATCTGTATGTGGTTTTTGACTTGCTTATGGTATCACCATTATTTTTTCTTGATATAAAAGATAACCTACTTTATTTGCTTAATTGGTAGTTGCCTTGAGACATTCATAGATGAGATATTAAGAATCATATAAAATTCAAATACCAATAAATGAAATATAAGCAAAACCTTGAAATTACTATTGAAATTAAAACCATCATGAATTAATTTAAAAAATAAACTTTAAGAGAAATGGATAAAGGGAGTGACATAAAAAAGTCTAAATGATAAAACAGAAATATACTGTACAGAATTAGAGTTATAAATAAAATAGGCAGAAATCCAGGAAAATGAGAGGCACTCAAAAGAAGTAAGTTATGATTAGTATACTTAAAGCTAGGCAATCAAAACTGGGACCAAGAAAAGGTAGATAAAATGATAAACTTATGTGTATTGAAAATGTGATGACACATGATGATTACCTAAATAACTAACAACAAAATTCTCTTATTCCTTAACTGATAGACCTAAAATTATTCTGGTAAAAGGGAGAGTAAAAATTCTATATTCCTTCCTTTTCTTTTCCTTTCTCTCTCTCTCTCTCCCTTCCTTCCTCATTTTTATTCTCCTCTTAGTTCTCCTTCCATTACCCTTTCTCCTTCCATTTACCCTTGCCTCTTTCTTGAACTTCTCTTCATTCTTCTTCTTCTTGGCCCTCTCTGTTCTTCTTCTCTTTCTAAATAACTTGCTGTCATTCATGATTTTACTATAGTCACAGATTTGGGTTTATCAAAATATTTATGGTAGCAGTAAAACAGTCAACAGATGATATTTCAATAATAATAATAATTATAAGAAGAATTGCCATGTGACAGCATACTAACTCAAAGAATATTTATAGAAATATAAGTATCAGGCACTATGCTTAGCTCTGTGGATACAATAATATATAATACATAAATAAATAAGGCATGGTCCTTTTCTCATGGAGCTTAGAGTGTAGCAAAGGAAAAAATTTTAGGTGAAGTGTAGGAAATTGCCATTGTTATAGTTCAAACCTAGTCAGACATTTGAAAACTATAGTTAAATATAAGACGAACAGATAAATAGATAAGTGGGCAGACAGACAGACATATGGAAGACTTGCTTTTAAACTGAGACTTGAAGGATGAATAAGAATTAGCTGTGCAAGTAAATACTTTAGAGATTGAGAAGAAGGAATGAATGGTAAGGTAAATGTAGGTTTGAAGTCAAGACAATGGCACTGTTCAGGGACTGAAAAAAGGCTATCAAGGATAAAGCACAGAGATGATATAGGATGAGGTTTATAAGATGGACAGGTTCTAAATCTGTCAAGACCAAGTTACAGATTGTAAATATTGTCTTAAGAATGCCATTAATGCAATAACTTACTTTATCCTAAGAAATTCATTAAGAATTAAAAAAAAATAGCAACTTGATTAGAATTACATTTTGTAGAGATTACTCTGGCTCAAGCATAAAAAATGTATTATTAATAGAAGTAGGTAAATATGGACATTCCTGTTAGGACAACCCTAGAGGTAACATTGGAGTTTACAGAAAAGTAATTTGAGGCTTAGAGATATTATTTAACTTGTCTTAGCCTATATAACTGAAAAGTCATGGAGCTATACAAAGTCACACTACACAAAGTTCATGCCCTTCACTAATAGATTATGAGACATTCATATATTTATTCAACATGCATTTCTTATTGAAGGTCTATATGTGTCAGGCATCACCTTATGTAGTAAGAATAAAGCAACAAACAAAGCCCCTACTCTCGAGGTGTGTAAGTTTTATTGAGATGGTAGCAGATAGTGGTATATGCTCTGAAGAAAACTAAAGCATGGTAGAGGGAATAGCAAGGACTGGGGAGTACTGTTTTATATAAGGGATTGAAAAAGTTTCTCTGATTAGGTAAAATATGAGCCCAAACTTTAAGAAAGTGAATAGATCAGACAAGAGCCCTCCAGGTAGAAGGAAAAGCAAGAACAGACATCCTAAGACTGGATCCCAGATTTTGGTTGAGGTATACATAGCAAGGAGGCCAGTGCAGTTGTCCCTAAAGTCATGAGGATATGATCTGTCTTATGTAATGAATAAAAGGTGGTTATGATAAGCTAAACACATATTTAATTTTTTTTTCTATTTTACCTGAAAATAACTTTTAAAGTTGATGTAATTGTGCTTTATCCTTTCATCTATCCATATGGAATATATATTATTAGCTTTACTTTAAAGAAGAGTAACTTAGACTAAGAAAATTTAGCTAAGTTGATCAAGTCAGCTAGCAGCTGTAGAGTGGGAACCACAGGCTACATTTTGAGCACTGAGGTCTAGTCCAGGTGACCAGAGCAAAGCTTCCACTGATCCCATAGAACTGACTTGGTGACAATAAAGACAGTGATTCAAGGCTAACAAACGATGCTAAGAAGGAAGGTCATATCATTTATCCAAACCTAAGTGGCTATATCTCTTACTGGAAGGAGGGAAAATAAATGGAGCAGAGGTGCTGAAGCTCTTATAAATATCCAGAGTAAAAGGGACTCTCCACTTGACTTATATGCTCTTTCTCCTGACTATGAATGAGTCACAATCTAAGTGGAACTAAAATATAAAATCACTGCTTCTTAGATGGCACAGAACTCCCATTTAACTCCATGCTTTGCATATCCATGTGATCTAAATATAATCCAATTCATACATCTATTTTAATCAAGAATCTCGATGCCATGTTCATGAGTAGAGTCTTAATAAATGCTTAATTGGATTTGTTTGAACTTTTCTATGCTCTTGGCTTAATAATGGCCCTCTTCTGCATGCAGCACTCCTCCTTACTTTTTCCTCATTTGAATATGGATACAGTTATGGTGAAATATAATTTAAGAACCTACAGGGTGCTGAGTTGTGGGGAGTACAAACATGAAAAAGATGAGACCAGCTATTTAGAGGCATAGACAGTTAATGGCTGCACTAACTGGAAAAGACTTTGTGGAAACAAGTAGCACTTGAACTAGAAACTTCGGGGGATTCTGACAAATAGGATTATAAGGAAGGGTGTGTATGACAGCACAGAAGACATTCTTCAAAAAAAATGTCCCTTAAGAAAATGTATGTTTATCACTATTAGTTGAAATGCTTCCTCACTCATCCAAATGTTACTCCTTTACCAGTCGATTGTTATAACACATTTCCACACATTTCAAATATTGCCTCTGTTCTCATTTTTCCATCTCTTCATTTGGATGATAATTGCTAAGACAATGGTATTATCATTTCCCATAATATACACATTGCTGTCTGAAAAAAGGTAAATAAAAAATTTATAGAAGAAAGCCAGTGGAGTTGCTACTTCTTGCACATAATACTGTTATACATTATGATTTCAGATTGTTCACTTTTAAACATAATGGAAACTGACAACCATTTCAGGGCTTTTAAATATGTGAAAGTGTGGGACAAGTCTGTTCCTCTTGCTATAAGAAATTAATAGTACCAAAGACTTTCTCAACTTATTGACCCTGGATCACTTTCCACTAAGCTACTTCCTTAAACTGATTTTGATTTCCTTTCTTTCTGGTTTTCTTCTTTTGATTGTACCACTTGAGTATTAGAAAGTGTAACCCTTGATAAAAATTAGTATTTGAATCAATGGACAAGTTCAGTAGTGGTCACTAGTTACTCCAAAAGAATTCTCAGGGTGCTGGCTTGCTGTATTTAAAAAACATATTTTTTAAAATGTTCATCTCACTTTAACTTATTCATGTCAATCTTTAAATCATAAAATAAGATATACATGACTTCTACCAAAACCTTCTTGGCTACTGTCGGAAAGGTATGAAATCTACGTCCTAAGTAAAATTTCAAATAGAATTTCTTTGATTTTTCTTAAATCATGATGGAGAAAGTAATCATTTTGAAAACCACATGAAATGGGAGGCATTCTTTGCTGTAATTGAAGAAATCCACATTGGAAGGCAACTGCAGCATTAGCCCTCCCTGGTTGCATTGTGTTGCATAACTTCCCTCCTGCTTCACAGTCCCCTGGTGAACCCCAAGGGAGTGATATACTCATTATATATAACTTTGGGCCCACAAGTCAGTTCAAAAAAGGCTGTGCTATTTGCAGATTGTTAAAAGCAACCCTCTGTCTCCTGTGACTTCTTGTAGGTCCTCTTGCCTTCTCAGCTTGGCTTAAGCAGTGTGAAGATAGCAGTAACTTGGAGAAATACCCTAATTCCTTATGGAGTGCCCTTTTAATTAGGATGTTTTGTTAAAGTAATTATAAAGTCAAAGCACACTGTTTGTTTAAAGTTCCCTGGAAAGCACGTTGTTATTACTGACAGCTGGGAAGTTTTAAAATATGTATCTTGTGCCTCAAAATTTCAACTTAAAGACCCAAGATCATTAGAATTCCCCAAGGTTTTTATGTAATTGTCTTGCATAAGTAAATGAGAGAATTTGTGATGAAGTTCAACAAGGTATCCTCCAGGATCTGTTTGTGCTACTAATTTTTTAAAAATTTTGACGTTAACAGGTGGAAATTGTGATACACAATCAATAATAATGTGATTTAAAATTAAACCTC